CAATGGGAAGCCAACAACCCCTATGTTTTGTCAGGTTCATCATTTTTGCTGGTAAAGACTCATGCCACCAAACCCAAGGCAAATGCAATGATGATAACAAAGTTCCCTTGAGAAAAATGAACAACAAAGGTGATGACATGTTGCTTGAAAATATCTGCGGATTTCCACCAGGTGGCACCTGCAAAGATTCAAATGAAATCTTACAAAAACAAGTGAAGAAGCCAAGAAACTGCAAACAATCTTAGGGCAATGCTGGGGAAACAGGAGAGTTCCGGGGCTTGGCCTTGGTCCAAGTATGAAACATCAACCAAAGGCAAGAGTAAAAGAATGGATTGTAACAAATGCACAGAAATGCAAAATGAAGTCTTGATGCTGCCCTGCAGCTGGCCAAAACCAAGTTCCTGAAGATATGTTATTGATGTTCTTTGTTCTATGATGTCCTATGAAATGTCTACGCATTTTCTATGCACTGGTTATGTACTTGTTAAAGACATTTTACAAAGTGAACGGATAATTTATAGAAACCAAGGGAACGTGCATAAGAAGTACATAGAGAATTCACAAGAATCGAACGTGCACAAAAAGTGCAATAAGCAAATGCAAAGAACATGCATAGACAATGCATGTAATATGCAAAGAGATTCATAGACAATTATACAACACTCATGCAACATTCATGGAAAATCACACCAAGCGCATGACAATCATATGTAGGTTGTCTGAGGCATTCACACAAAATGCACTGCTACATCACAGATGCATGTGTCACGCGCTCTACAAACTTGCTCTCAACACGCTCGTTTATTTTTGTGAACTGAAAAGGGGTGCCATCCCTGACCCTCGCTGACGGCGAATGTGTACGACAATCAAGAGGGGTCAAATTTAAGAGGTGGGAATCTGAGATGAAGTCTGGGCCATACTTTTGCCAATACTAGGTTGAGCACTTTATATTGAAGGTTCAGTCTTGGCAATACTTAATTTAGGATTGGCAATAGAAAATAAAGTACTGGAAATCGATTAGTAAGTCTTGCAATATCAAACTTGGAATTGTCAACAGTAACTTAGGGGGCAGTCCCATTCTGATGGGACACCCCCAAGAAAACTCCAGGACACGCAAAGTGCACAGTAAATGCAAACTTCCAAACAACGAACGATGCAAGAAAAACAACATGTCAGCAACCAAGTCCCGTGTTTATTTTGTTTGAGGTGAGTATATTTAGAACTTCCAAGAAACTTCGAGGATTCAAAGACAAAAGCAAACATGTCAGCAACCACGTCCCAAATACAAATTCGATAGCAAACTCAGTACGTGCTATTCCCCAAACAAACAAAAAGCAACAAAACAACATGGAATGTCAGCAGCCGTCCAAACAAACCATCAGTACATGCACTATATCCAAAAAACAAGAGTTCAAACAAAAAACGCATAGCACAGAAAAAATCAAAATGTCGGCAACCATATTCCAGATAGAAATTCCTAACAAACCTTAAGTAAGTGCCAGGTTTCAAGGAACACCTCGAGAATCCCCCAAAACCAAAACACACAACAAACAAGAACATGTTAGAAACCAGGAGGAGCCCTTTGGTGGGTTCCATGTTAGTGGACAGGAGGGTAGTGGGAACCCCGAATGAAGTTAAACCCCTGGTTGATTTTGATTGGGAACTGCCCCCCTTTAGTGGGGACTCAGACAACTCTTCGAGGGAACACTGCCGCTATTAACAGGACCTCACTCCCTCATTTCCTGGACTTTAAACTTTTTGGGAAGACCATTTTAATGGTAAATTAAAAGTTTTGGCTTTTTCCGGCCACGTATTGCATTTTTCACAACAACCAAATTTGGCCATGAGTATGGGAGCAAACTAGAAATGAAATTATGCAGCCCGTTGTAAACAATTATTTGTGTAGTTTCTCCCGTTTAGCTTTCTTAATTTAAGAATTTTGCAGCCTTAGGGTAGGGGTGTATATCTGTCACTGCGTATTGGATATCATTGGCAAATAACACAGCTATGATTTCCATTGAGTTTGTTCTTGATTTGGCTTGCTTTTTATGAGCTGTTTTTCATTGATTTTGAACGGGGCTTTGGTATTGATTTTACAGCTCTTGAAATCAATTCGTTTTTATTGAAAAAAGGCTGCTTCAATAGAAAGCGAAAGTTACTGATTCGAATCAATAGCCGATGTCCAGGGGATTTGCCTTTTCACTGTCCGCCTTTTCCTTTGCCGGTCTCATAGGATGCAGAACCTTTGTTTCCATCGGAAGGATAACGGAATTTGGGAAATTCCTTTCTTTCCTTTCTTGCCTTTGCCTTTTCCCCATATGTCTGGTCGTAGGGTTCATAGTTTTCGTTAGCAATATTGGCCTTTCCGCCGGATGCGCTCTTGCGAAAGGTTTTGAAACCACCGTCGATCGCTGCCCTTGTTGCTTCTGGACTTTTGCCTTTTCTTGATCCGAATCTTCATTTCCGCCCAGACACTTTTCTAGCAATGAGTGCGTCACTCTCCTTGAGCACCCAAAATGTAACTTCATCTTCCGTTGCCACGAATCCTTCATATCCTTCTTCTTTCGTAACCCAAACCTTCTCCTTTGTATTTGCCTTATGGAGGTCGGATGGATGGATCTTGGATGGTTGTTCTGATCGTGATGAAGAGATCGTGATACTGTGCTTTCAGCATCTCGTAGGAGTCAGTCGTTCTCTCTCCACTCTGGATGTTGAAGAATTGTGCCATGAGGTTGTCATTGAGGGAGAATGCGTCCCTGTGTTTTGTCTGCGTGCCGTTGATGTGCTGTCTCAGCACTTCTGGATCGTCTGCGGCAAGGGCGCTGCCCTGGTACCGGCAGCTTGCTTGCGCTGGACAAGTCTTCTTTGGTTTGCGTCTTGGACAGATGCAAGAAGCTCTGGTGACTGCGCCTGCAAGCATCTCCCATGAGTTTGCTTTTGGGGAGAGGTCCTTTCTTGGATGCTTCACTTGTGGTGAATGTCGTCCAATCATCCACAAGTTCCTCATGTGAACCAGCTGACTTTTGCGTCGTATGATGGCGGCTGTTTGGAGGGGTTTCCAGCGAGCGACCCAGGAAGCCTTCTCCATCGGATGACCACTGCCTGCGTGTCAGTAGGATCCACTGAAGTACATCGAATGAATGTATTGACCAATGGGTGTCTCTGATAAATAGATAGGTAGATGTTGCACTTGTAAGCGTGGCGCAAGGTTCTTGCTCTCTGATGTGGAATCGCGCACGAGGTGTGAAAAGAAAGGCCCTTGAGCTAAAACGGTTGATGGAAGATAAACTGGTCAATGCGAAGCAAAAGCAAGCACACACACACACAACCACCCGCAAAAAAAAAAACTGGGCCCCGACCCCGAAAGTCTATTGTAACAACTTGGTTGTTGCGCTACGAAAAGCAAAGCTTGCAGACTCCGGCCTTTTCCTCCTTTGGTGTTGTTGTGGCTGTCTTTCCTTTGCCCTTGTGCTTGCCATTCTTTCCTTTGCCTTTACATGTTGCTCCTATGTCCATTGGTGCTGGTCCTCGACTGTTGTTGCCTGATGTGATTGCTGGTAATCTGTGTAGTGGGTGATCTGATCTGTGCATATGTTTCAATGTTTCCTGCTTGCAGCTGTAGGTGTTGCCGTAATGGTCCTTTTGTCTCATTGAGCGGTGTTGCAATCAAGCAAGGCTTTGATGAGATGTGCTGGGAAGCAAGACGATGCTGAGGTTTGCTGCGCAGCAAGGCTGTGTTAAGATGTGATGCGCAGCAAGGCTATGTCGAGATGGGATCTGCGATGTTCGAGCTGGGAGTTGCAGAAGTGTACTACGCGGTCTACTTTTGTACTTAAATCTTTCGTGCTCGAAACTTGCGATATTGAATCGCTGCAGAAGTCATAATTCGCGTACTACTTTGGCACTTAAACTTCGTTTTCAAGCCGGAGCTGCAGAAGTGCCCTTTGCGTACTACTTTCGTACTTAGCCGGAGCCACAGAAGTGTAATTCGTGTGCTACTTTCGTACTATTGAGGGAAAATCGCACGGAGCTGCAGCGAGAGCGATCAGACGCGCGCGATCCCCGCAGAGAGCTCGTCGATTCACATTGCGCCGCAGCGCCGACCCCCGCGGTCCCTGTAGAGGAGCGATCCGACACGCACGATTTTCTCACAGGAATCGTCGGCGAGTTTTCAAGCACGCGCGGCGCCGCAGCGAGAGCGCCCCGAGACGCACGATCCCCGCAGAGTTCATCCTGCCGACGCTCCAACGGCGCACAGCGCCGTTTTCAACAAACCTCAGCAGACGTCGATGTTGGCAGCGGGCGCCCGCAAAACGGTTCCGCCCGAACTCGCATCATGTTCTCGACAAGTCGCAGCGCATCACCTTCAACAAGCGGCGTCAGACGGCTTCGTTTGTAGAAACGTTGCGCGAAGGGACACCGTTGCGGCCTCCAGGTAAGCCAGGCTGCGTAAGCTTGGCTGGTAAGCTAAGCTGTGCCGGCTACGCTGCGTAGGCTAGGCTGCCTAAGTCACGCTGTGCGAGCTTGGCTGCTTGAACTAGGCTGCGTGAGCTAGGCGTGCGATCAGTGCGCAAGCATGATGTCATCCTGGCAGGAATCGGAGCTCCCGGCTTGGTTCTGTCCAATGGGATCTTGGCATTTTCGGGTTCTGAAAGCAATCCGACCAGACTCTGAAGTATGCCCCAGACATCACCCAGGCCAAGGATTTTGTGACAACATATCTCTGGATAAGGTCCACTGTTTTGTCTCCTCGCACGAAACATCCGATTCCTTTGCGACCTCCTGGGTCAGCGCAAAGCGTAGCCGGCCTGGATGAAGAGTTGCCGCGCAAGGGATTTGTGGTTCCACCTGCTTCTTGGGGGCATATCGCAGGAACAATGGGAATCCCACATTCGACTTTCCTTCCCACCCACCGTGCCTCGTGCGGCGCGTTCGGCTGCTCCGCGATCGGGTTTGTTTCGCCTTGTGTTGCCTGCTCCCATCCTTCGAAAAATGGTAAGGTCTTCATAGTGACCTCTTCTGTGAGCAGTTTCTCGCCCAGCATCAGGCGCATCGCGAAGCGGTTTGTGGGTTTCGCGTTTCGTGGGGTCCCGGGAAGCAGAAACGACAACAACTTCCGGCTGATTTACATTGGTTCACCTAGTTTCCCGCATCCTTGCAGAACAAGCGGCGTTCTGTGTCTGTTTTGCCAATGCCGAACGAGAGGTCCTGACACGCCTAAGGGGGACGGTGCATCCTCAGCCCCTCGCTAGAGGCCTATGCTCAAAACCCTAGAAACATTTAGTGTCTTTATTGGCACACTCGTTCACAAACCCCTTGTAGTGGTGGCTGTGCTGGTTGAATGGGCCGCATTGTGAGGAACCCTGTTGTTGGCAAAGCGCTTTGTTAAAACGCGTTTGCACTAGCGCACTTGCACGAGCGCACTTGCGCGGCCACGCTTGCGCGAGCATACTTGCACGAGCGCGCTTGCAGGAGCACAAGCTCGCATTGCGAGGGGTTCTGCCGGAAACGCGCCAGGGAACTGACACCAGCGCACTCTCACGAGCAAACAAGCAAAGGGCTCGAGAGCAAAACGCAGGCCACACTCGAGAAGCGCACTTGCACGAGCGCACTTGCCCGAACACTCTTGCCAAATCATGCTTGCAGGAGCGCGCTCCCAGGAGAGGACTTGCAGGGACACTCTTGCAAGCTCTTGCAAGAGCACGCTCGCAGGACGCGCTGTCAAATGCTAATCTGCGAGTCGGCAACAAGAGAACAGCGGCTGGTTTCCGTTCTCCACGCAAAGCCAGGGTTTCCCACAGGAGTTTCTGGAAATGGAGGCTTGCAATTGAGAATTTGCATTCCTGGGTTGTACACAGGGAAACCGAACCCGCGCGTCGGTGTAGCACTGGTTGAGACCATGACAGTAACTTTCGTGCCAGGGGGCGAAGGAAGTGCTGCTGCTTCTCCCAGAAGATGCTGCAGAGGTTCAGCCGCTCCCTGGCACGAGCCGCCATTCGGATATCTCGTGCGCCCTTCAAAGTGAGGAGAAGATCTCCTCAAGCCCGTCTAGCGAATTTGTAAAAAGGTGGTGAATTGACCAGCCCAGCCAAACCACTGCATTTTTGGCATTTCGCGCCTCAGAAAATGACTTGGCGCAAGCTTCGCGCAAAAACCCTGGTGCGCATGGTGTTTGCAAGGAGCTGCGCCTTGGTGCGGTCTGGAGCCGGCGCAGTCTAAGAGGCTACGGGGAGAGGTTTGCTTGTGGCAGCTGAGACAACATTGCGCCAATGGCATGTAATCAACATTTGTCAGTTGGCTAGGCCATGAGGTTTCCTGTCGATCGAAATTAATAAGGGGTACCATTGAAGTTCGTGATTGCGCAAAACTTTACTGCTCTGGAGGTTTTGGGGTGGAGGTTGTACACCTGCTCGCTTGAGTCAAACTGCAACAACCTCGCGTTCTTTCCAAAACGGGAGACGATGCTGAATGGAAAACAATGCTCGTTGCGTGTGGCGCAGATTGGGGCTCACGAATGCAAAGCACCATGGATTCGGACTCTGTTCGCACGCGCCTTCTGGGCGGGAGCCTCACACTGCGCCAAAATCTACGCTCTACTCCAACCCCGCTTTCTGGCCCTAAAACGACCACACAAACAAGAAGTTTCCCAGCGCTGCGACCCCAGATGCGCCCCAGTCCAGCCAAACCGGCGATCTGTGCTTGCAAGGTTCCCATTTCTGCAGAGCCCGCTTTGGTACAAGTCCAGCGCGCGAACTGAACCTTGGCCACGCACTGGGGCGAGAGGTGTCAAATCGGTCGGTGCCAAATTTCGCGGGTTACCGTGTGTTTTTTCAAGGGTCCTGCTTATTCGCTTCAAACACAAACGGTAATCATCTCGCATCAAGTTGAGGGTTAGGCTATTATAGCAGGTGAGACAAGGAAGAAGCGAGCCTTTAGAAAGCAAGTGGAGAGACACCTTGGCGCAGTTCGTGGCAACTTCGTCACAGAGATTGATGAAAAGAAAGCAAAGCTTGACGCACCCGTGAGTGTCAGCGCTATGACGCCTGGTTGGGCAAAGCGTTCGCAGTCTTGGTACGGCTTCCTGTCTAAGCTCTTGAAGGAAGGTTTTCCGGACAGCGGGCATGAAGCAGTCAGAAACCTGTTCATGGCCCTGCCGCCCCCCTCCGCAAAAGTTCGCACATTGGCCTTCCTCAGGTCAATCTTGGCGTGGCCAAGTTTCAAGATGGGACTTCTTTGCAGGCCCCCCAGCTCGGAGAGATGTTCAGAGACTATGCGAGGTTGCAGCTTCTTTGCATGAGGAAGTGAAGTTTGCTATTTTGTTGCGTCAGTTGCGTGCTTATTTGAATGTGCATGTTTCGGTATCAGACTTTTCGCGCAGCCATAGCGGATTTTGACGCAGCAAAGGCCAAGCAGCAACCATGGCACGCGTACTCAGGTTGGAGACGGCCCTGCGGGCATGGAAGTGACAGAATTTATTGCAGCGGCAAGGGCAAGGCCAGCAGAGCGACAATGGCAACTTTTGTGGGAAAGGCGAAGGCAAGGACATCAAGCGCGAAACTGCCGTCAAATCAAATGTCGGCAAGTTATGCGGTTCCAACTCGACACGCTGGCAATCTGCAAGACCCATGAAAAACCAACATGCTTGCTGCTGCAACTGACACGCGCTGGCTTGAACCATGTTCACAAATCCACAGTTCTCAACAAGATGATCATCATCTGCTGCTGTCAAATCGTAAATGGCACTGTCAAACTCCTCATTGTCTGGAAACACGCGCACACGTCTCACTCTTTGCTGCGTGTTGGGCGCAACTGGCTGCTGTGGCTCCACAAGCTCGTTCCTGACTGCCAACTCCTATTGGCCTAGGTGTGTGGATGTCCCTGTTCCGTCTTAGTGCTTGCCACCGAAGTGTTTCAGATGCATCTTTTCCAGCGTTTCCTGGTGTCGTGGACGCACGCGTTTTAGAGCAGCATTAAGTGCAATGGGAGCTTTCAGAGCAGCCAGGTTGTCTGGAAGGTTTGGTTACGGACGGAGTTTGAGTCCAAATGGTATGCCAAACCTTTGGAGCTGAACTGCCTCGACGCGACAATGGTTGCGCTAGATGACTAACCAACAACTCTTGCGCGCGTGCCAGGTGGTTCATGGGAGCTCTTTGAATTGCGCCCAAACATGGGTGTTATGCGAGACTGTTTGGGTGTGGGTGTTCCTGCGGAATGCGTTGAAATGCTTTTGACAGGCGCGTTGCATCTTGCTCAGGGTGATGAGCCTGAACTTGATTCTGTTCAGGAGATTTTTGAGGCGCCCAAGGATGCTGCGCAGCACAGCAGCACAGGTGTGAAGCAGCACAATCAAATGCGAGTCAAATGCGAGTGAGAGGGTGTCCATGTTTGAGCGTTGATTTTGTTTACGCTGGATATACAGATGATCCGAACGAGCAGAAGCTGTGTGTCCTGCTTGTGCGTGATTCGTCTTCGCACGCAGTCAGTGCACCTCCCATGAAGGACAATTTGCATCATGGCAGTTGAAATGAACCGGTGTTGCTCAAGCTGCAAGGCATATTCAGCGAATCAGGGCCTAACGGCTCGCAAAACCTTCAGTGAGAGATCATGCCGGTAAAGGATGTGACAGGCATGGTCATGGGCGCATGCGCCGTGGATTGTAACACAGCTGAGCGCCTGCAGTAAGCTGGAGGAGGGCTCGGAACCGGTTTTAGCTTTGCAAGTTCAAGGGCGTCAGAAAGGATTGCAAAAACGAAAGCAAGCTCTTGGGCAAGGTGGTTTGCGACGTGCCAATTTAAGGCACGCAGCATGAAAGGCTGTGTGCGGTTGACGAAGTCCGTGTGAAGAACAGGTGCTTTATGGACAGATTTCCTTCGCGGCAGCTTGAGCACCAAGTTGTTGGCCAAACTATTTCGGCAAAGGTTGCATGAAGCAAGCGTGCATGAGCAAAGTTTTCACGGATAGCGACTGGGAGGTGTTTGCAGTGAATGGTTTGATTGTTGGTGGAGTCAGCAGATCGCAAAAGGTTGTGAGCCGGAGCTGTCAAGGCTGACGAAGTGGAGAAGATGGCGAAATCAAGACCGTTGAAGTCGCCCGTCCCAAGAAGAAGAAGATCCTGACCCCCCGCAACAAGCAACCGCTAGCAGGGAAGGCTGTGCCGAAGCCTGAAACCAAGGCAACGCCAAAGTGCCTGTGTCTGCCAGGTTATCTGCTGAGATTCTGCAATTCTTGTGAACCCAGCGCGCCTGAGTCTGGAGCTCCCAAACTTGGTTGTTATCCAGCACGCGTCAAAGCGCACTCCTTGTTGCCGAAACACTCACAGCAGTAAGAACTTCGCCTCACACACCACTGCGTGACGACCGAGCCTTTCAGCTGGCGTGCGCTTTTGGATTGGTATATGGGTGGAAGATCAATCGCTGTCACGCCATCCTCTTCTTCCTCCTCCGACGACGTTGGCCAATTGCCATCATGTCAAGGCCTTGCGCTCAGTGCTGATGAAAAAAAGGTCTTCGCTCTTTTTTCAAGAAGAGGGTGGTTTGCTGCAACATCAATGACCGCGTAAAGCTCCTTCTGACGGATCTCGCTGTCGAAGGGACCCTCCGGATCCTCGCGCCCCGGCTTGGAACCGACGCATCGATGTATTCCCGTTCCATTTATAGCGGATCCATCCTTTTCAATTTGGCCAATGTCGTGGCCGGCTGCTGTGAAGAAATGGATCTAGCGGCGACTGTTAATTTTCGTGTCGTTGGAGTGCACCCGGTCAGTCCGTGACATGTTGCTGATGAGGGTGCGGGGATTGATATCCGTGACTTTGCTGCGACGTCCAAGTAACCGAGCGTGGCCCTGCATTTGCGCTTTTAGGGCTAACCAAGACCACTCCTGCAACCTCCACGCCCCACGACATCATTTCCAGATCAGGATACGACGATGACATTCGAATTGTCTTGGCAAGCGTTGATAGCCCGCTCGGCCGCATCGAGGGATTGGGTAAGGCCCTATCCCCACGTCACCTCACTCCACACAGTGTGCTCGTGGCCAAATAATCTATTCTCTTGGGGGACCGCACCGATGTTGGTCCTCGCAAGCGCCTTGCCAAAAAGATGTAATTTGCCGGTTGCTTTTTTGCTTGCGTGACTGGGAATACAGACGATGGTATTTCAATAGTTGGGGGAAGATCAGCATCAGGCTATGATGCGCTGCGCAGGAAGACAGCAAAGCAGCTCTTGCGGATTTGCGTTTCACGCAGGCATTCCTGGTGGACATGGCTTGTCCACATCTGCAGATGTTGCAGCAGTAACTGAGGTCTTGGGTTAGGGCCTTAGCAGATTTGCTCTGATAAATGTGTGGCTGTGATCGCTTTGGCTTGTGCGGTATTTTCTTGCGCAGGAAGGTTGTGAAATTGCAGCAGCCACTAGAGAGGTATGACGCCGAGTGTTGCGTTCAGCATCAGCTGAACATGCTCTTTGGTGCAGATGAAAAGCAGCAAGCCCGCTTGGCAGCTCTGGAGAATCAAGATTCAGATGGCGAAAACGAAGGAACATTGTCAGAAGATGCGTCTTCTTTGGATGAAGTAGTGCACGAAATGCGAGGCGTCAGTATGAAACTGCCGTGTCAGCTGGATTGAGAAACCAAAGCAGAAGACATGGAAGGCTTGGAGTGGCTTATGAAAATCCACGCAGGTCGGGGGCGCCGAAGCTGGACAACTTGAAGGTAGAGTTCGGCCGGCTGGCGTCTCTGGTGATCAGCAATTCAGCACCCGCTGCTTTTCGGGCACGCTCACGCGAAGGCATTCAAATTTGCGTTGGTTGTTTCTTCTTGCGGGCTGCACACCCATTGGCCAGGAACAACTGTGGTGTGTGTTGGTCGTGCGCCTTTTGAACATGAACAAGAAGTTAATCCAGGGCCCCGACGAACTCCGGCGAACTCCATGAAGCCACCAAGGTTTGTACTTGGAAGGAAGTTCCAAAAAGTTCGTTGGTTCCTGGCGAATTTTGGCTCTTCTTTTCGTTCTATTGCGGGTGTCATCTGGGCCACTTTGTGTGTGAGGAGCCTTGTGCTGTGGTGTTGGTGGGGAAAGCATCCTCTCATGCGGTAACGTGTGGACAACGGTTGGGGCTTGATAGTTACTGCCACATTGGGGGCGCACTGAAAGCAAAAACTGCTCAGATGTCATTTGACGAACTGGTTGATGATAAGATGAGATCGATGAAGAAGGCGGATCTTGTCAGTTTGCTCAATAATCTCATGAATGAGTTGAGCGTGAAGGATCAACATCTTCCTGGTCAAACGGCCAGGGTGTGGTGATCTCCCGAAATCAGGAACGCTGAAAGGGGGGCAAACAGCGCGTACGGACTCTTTTGGGTAGTTTTGTGTGAATCTATTGAAAACACATGTTTTGGAAGGGGTGCCAAAGTTAGTCCAGAATCCCGACAAGCTTCTGACGAACTTACCTATCCCGCGAAATTTGGCAGTTCGAGCTGGGCATTTCACGCCGTTGGCCGCGTGATGCGTGAGAGACAACGAGGGACTTTCAGCAGGAGCCCGTAGATCAGTCCTTGAATCCACAAAAAGCGCGAGTTGTGTGAGATCCAACTTGTGGCGCCAGAGCTTTCTGGGGCTTTAGCCGCTGCCATTGGCGCAGCCAGTGGCCGAACACCCTCTAAGCGTTGATTCCCAATTTAGGCCTCCGTGCTGGCATTGCTTTCAACGCCTCCAACGCTGAGCGCGCACGTGCTCACCTTCCTTTTCTGGGGGGTTGGAAGCGGCGCCTAAGCTCTTCTCGTTCAGCCCGCTTCTTGGAACACACCCGGCAGGGAAGGCAACAAAGGCTTCGGTTGCTGAACCTTAAGCCACAAAAAACCGGTACCTATGCGACGTGGCCCTGTGCCAAGGGGGATCCAAGCCAAGGTGGCATCTTTGAAGCTTTCCTTGCCCGGATTACGAGCTGTGCTGCAGCCCGGAGATGCTTCTTGGAACGCATTGGTACGTGCTTTTTGGTGTGGTTTAAAAAGAAAGCCACAGGGAAAATGCAATTTTAGGTACCCATTTTTTGTGACACGTGCCCACTGGGTAGCAGTACAATACACAATGACACATTGCCCGCTCGTTTTTTTAGCTCAAGGATTGCAACTGGATGGCCCAAGATGGCCCAGAGAGACAGCTTGACCGTGTTCTGTTGTGCGTTTCGTAAAAGGGCGACGCGTGTCAGCTGTCAGCTGGTCTGCAGCGTGCGCAATCTGTTGATAACTGGAGTAGTCCCGGACTCCTGTTGCGCAACGCCGGTTCTGAGACAACCCAGGTCAAAAGTTGGGCTGGGCATCCAAACCCGACGCAAAAGAATCTTTTCGAGCTTGTTTTGAATGAAGGCAGACAAGAAAACCACCGTGTGCCGCTTTGTTCGGGGCCAACGAACCGTTCAGAATGCGACCCAAAAAGAATTTGGATCCCACGTGGTGTTGGGAAACCAAAACAACCTGTTGCAGCCTGCCGTAGCAGGTGCTGTTCATCCCCCTCTGGTGGTGGCACGAGGTGCGCACGGTGCATGGGCCTTCGGTGTCCAGCACCTTCCGATTCCACACGGAGGCCCGAAACCGAAACGAAGCACACTGCGCCATCCGCGCTTGCAAGCCGCATCCTGGGAAGCCAAAGGGACAGTGCTTCAACACTGGTTCAACATGTTTACATAAACAATGGACAAGGTTCTTTGTGAGGGTTCACCCCCTTTGAGGGGAAGGTGGTTTTTTTTGGGCGGCTACTCTTCAAGAGTGTAAACAGTTGCTTGTCGGTAGCTGTCCACCAACATGATTCTTGCAAAGGATCACGCGTTCAAACATCAGCAAGCTACACATAAACGAGGGGTAAAGTAGTGGACTAATTACCTTTGATGAGAGGGAGCAAGGATATCTTTGTTTTGGCAAGATGTATGGTCATGCCAATCCAAACTAGGTGGCCCGCCTGATATGCCCTATGTAACTGCATTTTTAGACACAACCGCGTGTCAGGGTTAGAGGGGGAGTGATCACCAAAACTCGGCTTCCAGGCGCAGTATGGGTGTGGGACAGTGTTAGGGAGTCACAAGCCTTCGCACCACGGACTGCGAGCCCCCCGTTTCACTTGGAGAGCAGCTGGCGAGGATGCGGAGCGCTTTGCCAAAGTTATGAACGCCTTCTACCAGTTTCACAAGAATGCCAAGGAGCCACTCGGTGGCCAAACGAGAAAGACGCTAATGTTGTTGCACGGAGCCCCCTCTCAGACTCCCAGTACGCGCGCTGGCATTGCCAATTCTGCTTCTCGTTGTCAAGGAGGCTGACTCTCAGATTCCCAGGATTGAATTTAGTATTGCCAGTTCCACTTCTAGTATTTTCCAAGGCTGACTCTCAGATCCTAGTATTTAATTGTAAATGCTGCGCGTGGCCTCGACTGCAAGCAGCACTGGTCAAGCGGCGATTCAGGCATGGACGGCTTCTGGCATCGTTGGACCAATTGATGTCAGGGGTTCGCAGGAATCCCCAAGGGGCAAGCGCAAGGCGATGCGCAAACATGTCAAGGCTGGTTTGTCTGATGTGTCCCTTGCTTGGGTCGGTTGCTGGCTGGGCCGGCGTGGGTGGTTCAGCGAGCCCCCATTTTTTTGGGCAGGCGGCTGGCGGTGGGCTGTGAGGCTAGCCTCAGACACGTCATCCTTTGGGAAACATGAGCGCCCTTGCTGAGGCGAATTTAGCGTTGCCAATTCTATTTCTAGTATTGCCAGGGCTGACTCTCAGATTCCCTGTATTTAACTTAGTTTCGCTAATTCTATTCTATTATTGCCAAGGACCTTTGTTTTCAGCAACCCCCGAAAAATCAGTTGGACATTAACGAGGGCCCCAAAACAGCCACATTAAAGACGAGGAAGTCTTCTTGTGGGCAACCGCCTTTGTGTGACTGTTTGCCCGTACTTTGTTGTAAAGTTATCTTTCAATTTGATGGTTAGGGGACCACTTCAAGAAACGGGTTTGCCAATCAGGAGTTGTTTGCCTGAGGCCGAGCAGATCCAGAAAGTGAAAAAGAAGCTCTGTGCTTTTGGATTTTTTTTTGGGGGGGGGGGGGAAATTTTCCACCATAGAAAACCTCTAAGCAGTCACAGGATCCTGAGTTAGAGAAAAAGCTTCCACAATAGAGGGTGCTACTTCCAAAGGGTCCAACACTGCGCTCCGAGAAAAGCCTGGCAGAGCCTCGACCATCAAAGTCGGACAAGTCCGGAGCACCGTAGCAATCAGAGCCTTCTGCTCGCTGTGGGGAATCGCTCCAGTTTTCGGGGTTTCGTTTGATGAGAACTCCTCCGGATGAATCCGAAGTGAACATTAAAGATCATTAGAATGACGCTACCCTGCCCTGGCTTTTCCTACCCAAAATGCAGCCTGATGTGCAGATTCATCAAGCTAGGCGGCCCGCTTTTTTGTTGCGGAGTGTTGAACTGTTGAGCTCCTCCAACTAAGGAGGCAGGCGAACCCGTGTCAGGAGTGATCTTGCCAAGAAGTGTTTTTAGCCTGCGTCGGTTTTAAGAGAAACCGAATCTCAGTTTTTGGGTCGAGGTACGGCTCAGGCCGCTTGGCCAGACACATCCGCCCGGCAACCCAGCCTCGGCGCAAGAAAAAGGCTTTGTTTGTTGATTTGTGCCTGTGAAGAAGGGATCCGTTCGACGACTTTTGAATGTTGCAAAACGCTTGCCGTATGGAGACCTGGCAAGAATGCTCTGTGTTTTCAAGAGGATTGCCGCCGGCTCGAGGGCCATCATCACATCCAAGTGTCCTCAACAACCTAATCAGTCGATTGCACTCCCACAGGCGGAAGCAGCTAGATTCATCCTGAAGGAAACGCTTTTCCGGCGCCCGGATTGAAATCAGCCAATCATAAAGAGGTTTTGCGCAAGTTTACTGGGTACGGATGTCTGCGCGATGCGTGTCGGCTTTGCGAGTGTGCGAGTCACATATGATTTGGCGCGCAGGCACGTTTCACTCTTGCATGAAACGTGCAAAAGTAGGAAAGTGCTACATGACATCATGACCATCCATTTGGCTCAAAGGCGCGCTAAACGTGGTTATCAGCTGTAGGAGTTCTTTTATATACTGGAGTTTCCTGGATCGTAGCCCTCCTCCTGATTGCCGCTGGGTGATCGACGTGCTGATTGGTGCTGGGTGGTTGGCGTCACGGCGCTGAAGGACGGGTGTGAGAGGAAAACCCGCTGGGAAAGGATACGTATTCACAGTTGGAGCGAGCAAGTTGAGGTTGAGACTGCGGTAGCCGGGCTTTGAGGCTGGTGTCAGGTGGAGCTTGGCGTCAGGGCTTGGATAAGCGCAATCCGAGGAAGGATAAAAGACCGTGACCCAATCAGGTTTTCCCATTGGGGGTTTTGAATTAAACCGACCAGACAGGACCTTAGGCCGTCATCCGTTCCATTGGCGCGCAGCGTCTTCGCTATGGTGGATTTGACACGGGGTGGCGGACGTGGAGTTTGGCAGGAGGACAGTCGGGTGTTGCCCAGCGATTTGTGATCGTCTTTGTGATCGTCTTGTGAGCTTTTCATTTTGTTGCTTTGTTCTACGGAGCTTGAGGGCGATCGGAGGGGTGCCAGTACTAAAGAGAGCAATTCCCATCGGTTCTTTCATGGCCGCACGTTGTAAGCTGTTTCGGCCTCACGTGGCCGTTGACGATGGGCGCCCACTTAGAGGTCGCAGCGCTACCCCCCCACCCCCCAAGCTCCCCTGGCAGGTCACCTCTCTGACTCACGCCCTGTAAGAGGTTGAGGCATGTTGAGAAACCTGGTTGGATTTCGAGAAGAGCTCAGACCAAGATTCCTGAGCGCTGCTGCAAACCAAGCTGCCGAAGTACATCAACCTGACAGTGTGGTTGTTAAGAGCACTCCTCAAATCCGATGCCTGTATGGCCCAATCAGACGCACCTTCATGAGACCAGTTTGAAGGGCGCTTGCTCATCAATACCAGGATGCTGAGGTTGCTGCGGCAGCAGCAGATGAAGCATTGAACATGCGTTGGGGGCTCAGGTTCCACAAGGAAGGGCCCAAGCCACGATCATCTGCGTGCTACTGCCTGTGTAGCGTCGCTCGCAAACTGAGTGTCGCCGGTGCTGTAAATGGGTTTGGTTTGGGCGCCCAGAAGTCCCAGGACTAGGAGCCATCAAGCATGTTTTGCAATTCCTGTTCCAATTGTTCCTTCACATCGCTTACTCCTAGAAATCTCAGCCCATATCGTCAAAGCGACTGCAACCGACTTCAGCCTTGACTGTTTCCCTGCTTGATAAAGTGATGAGTTGTTAGAGGCGTTGCCAGAAGGACCTCCAATCAGCTTGATCGAAGTGAGGAAACCTTTTTAGACCGTGGTTGGCTCAAGCTTTCAAGGCTGTGAGGCCAAGGTTCGGGAGTTGGAGGATTCAGTGCGCTGTCCGAGATTTGACAGGATGCTGGCTGCCGCTTTCGGACATGTTTAAAGCGCTTGCTTCTCATTGCTGTTGCGCAAAAATCTCGACATCGACCGGTTGTGCTGAAGGTCCTGGGTTTCGGATTCCGAGCCCTGATGCGGATAGCATCAACTCTCTCAAGCAGCGGCGAGCTACCCACTAGCGAGAGACCGCCCGAAGAGCAGCTTTTCAGGCGGGCCTTTGAAAAGGTTTTGCCAACGTTTCCGGAGCGTGAGGAAAGTGGGGATATGTTTCATACATGCTAAAAGCAAGGACGCAACCTTGATCTACCTGAAAACGCTCCGACGGACCAGGAAATGCTGATGCAATGCCCCGGCTCAGCCAGTAGGAGCTTGCGCAATAATTACTTAGTCACTACTTCATCAACACAAATAACCAAAATGACAAACTGCTCTGACCTACTTCATCAATACAACAAGGAACAAAAACAATATTACACATATTTCAAACTGCTCTCACCATATGCGGCCCTCGGCATCCCCGCTCCTTGGAGCTCGCGCCCTTCGGCGAGCTCGCGCCCGAGCTCGTGCCCCGAGAGCTCCGTGTGCACCGAGAGGCGGCGATCGGTTTGTCTATGTTGCAAAGCGAACCTCGGGGCGAGCCCGTCCTCACCCCATCCGCTCACAGGCCTTTGCTTCCCAGAATGGATAAACTGCTAAAGACTGCGGACCTGGAGTGAAGGACATGGAAATGCATCAGAATGGCAGCACACGTTGAAAAGAGACCACGCGCTGCATTTGTCTGAGGGCGTGGCAGGAACACATCCCGCATCGTGGATGTATTCACATCTGTCTTCAGAAACCTCGCTTGCAAGAGCCATCAACGTTGCAAATGATTGGCGTGCTCGCCCTAGACGGAGACTCTTGCGATCTGACACTATCTGTTCCACTCTCAAAAAGGAGAGGGTTGCTCCTGTTTCAGCAGAAGGGTAAAACCTGTCACCTCAAGCACAAAATAGGCTAGTGCAATCACCTTTGAAAGCCTCCTTGCTCAGGCCAAGGCGAATCCCAATCAACCTCCACCTCCACGGGTCTGACGACCTCAGCACACCAATGACGCTGCCGACCACGCTGCACCCGGTCAATCCGCTATGTGGAGAGCCGGAAGATCCATGGCAGCATACTAAAAAAACAAACAGACAAACAGACAGACAAACAAACAACAAATAAATACACCTGCAGGTGTAGGCTCCACTCAATGTCCTCTTGTATGAGAAGTTCTGTGACGACATGTCGGGGCCGTAGTCACTGGTCGTAGGGCAGGCTGAATTGATGCCAAGGTGTTGACATGTAAGCGTGATTGTGTGTGTGTCTGTTTGTTTGTTTGTTTGTCTGTTTGTTTGTTTGCTTGTTTGTCTGCATGTCTGTCTATTCGTCTGTCAGTCTGCCTTCCTGCTTGTTGAAGTCGACCAAGCTCAGAAGCACCGGACAAGTGTGTGAAGGTGTAGCTGGGTGTGTGTGTGTGTGTGTGTGTGGTGTGTGTCTGTGTGTCTGTGTGTGTGTGTGTGTCTGTGTGTCTGTGTGTCTGTGTGTGCGTGTGTCAGTGCGTGCTTGCGCGCGCGGGTATATATATATATATAGCTAATATGTGTGTGTGTGTGAACGGGAGCATTCAGCCTGTCACATGCAAAGAAGAAAATGGTTGTTGCGTACCTATGTTGAGTGGGCAGTCCACATTTTGGAAGGGAAGGCAGCAGATCATTAAATGCGATGCTCTGCACTTTCCAAGGGACCTTCAACGTCCAAGAGTAGCTTGACGTGATCTCACTAAGGTAGTTCAGGTGATTACTTTTGCAACGCGTCTGAACCTGCAGCATCCACAATTCCTGAGTCTCCTGAGTCTACAACCAACACGCAGGAACACCCTGCTGTGTTCGGCACGAATACAGTGAGGGCAACAGCGACACGATCTGGGAGCATCTGTATTGTCCCTTGCTTGCTCTATGTAGTGCACTCAACAACTGACAAGGCACATGTCTGACAAACAGGACGCGAGTGGCCCCATGCAAAAGTGTAAAGACCATTTCCCTGCTACATGCTTGTCAGAAAGGGACCAGAACAATAATCCAACGCCTACAATACCAAATCATAGGAATCATGACTGCATCTCCTGCATGACCCAGATTCGGGAACGCGCTTCTCTTTTGGCCACGCTGGTACAAGCTGCGAAGCTGCAACATGTCGGCCATGTGCTGCACTCCACATTCCAAACTTAGGGTCCCGGCCATGCCGATGCCAATGGTGGCCATGACAAAGATGGCGCCAAAGGCAACCTCGCAAAGAAAATGATAGTCTTTAGCATCTCGCCATAGAAATGAGCTCGGGATGTCTCAGTGTGCATGTATGTGTTTGTTTCCCCGGCCGGGGTGGTTGGCAAAACTTTACAGAAGTACTTGAATGTTCTCACAAGGAACAAACCGCAAGCCCTGGTTTCCTCCTTGGAATAGACCCTCTGCCTGTTTGAGGTGGCAGGCTGATGAACCTTAGTGGCGTTCATCCTGATTTGCAGGATGGGAAGCCCCCAAAGCAAGCAGAATGCTCCGAGGCACAAAAGGCGGGATTGCCAATTTCCTTGACGACCGCTGGCCCAAATCTGTGCATCCCGGGCGGTATTTGAGTTCCTTCGGAACAATCAGCATGTTCATTTCTGGGGATCAACCGGAAAGCCCCAAAGAACAGCCCAAGCGGTCTTGAATGGTCTTGACAGCCTCTGAGACTGCCTGGTCCACTAGTGTCCAGTGTTGCAGGGGGTCTACCCAAAATGAACGAGGAATCAACAGGGCGGGCGCGCCTTTTCCTGGCGACCAGCAACCTTCCTGGCTAAACTTCAGACCTACAAAAACCACAACTTTTGCAGGTCGAAAGGGAAGAATCTACAGCCTAACGCATCAGCTCGCAACGCATCAGGTCCGGGCGCAGAAGGTGGGGAACCTTGCGAGGCCTGGCGAGTCCAAAAGGCTCAGCGCAGATTCGTCGCTAAGTCCGACCGACGCGTCTGCAAAGGCCGCTATGTCAATAATTGAAGCACACCTCCGCATCCCAACAGCCCCCAACAAGAACCTCAAACATGTCCCCCCTCCCCCCAACTAATGCAAGCAAGTGAGCATGACCTAGTTGTTTGGCGAAGCGGACCGAAGTCAATTCCACAAGGACAAGCAGGAACATATTTAAGCACCAACACATCATGAAAAATGCAATGCCGATCAGTCCAAGCATGCTTGTTGAAAATACTGTTCAAAAAATAAACCTTTTCAGTTGCCAGCTCGCAAAAAATATGTTCATCAAACACAATGCGTTAAATGTTGTTGCAGGGGTCTCCCTTAACAGTAAGTGTGTTGCTTCCCTCCTCAACAAACTGCAATCCCCATGCAATAGTACTATGAAGTGAATGACAACCCGCACACACCAAGCAATGCTAAATCAAAATCCTCAACCAAAGGAAACTCAAAAGCCGTTTAGGAGGAAGAAACCAGAAATGGATGGAAGGTCAAACTCAGAACCACCAATAACAAATCGCATGGAACATCAGATCCATCTCAGCAGGAACCTCCAGCAATTCTACATCAAATGGAACTTTAGATTCTACAGCAGTACACCCAATTCGATTGACTTGGCGGGTGCTCGATCATTTAGGGAGACTGATTGTTGGAGGATGGGAAGAGGGCATGGGGTTCTTGACCAAAAGGTGGGTCCATTGCCCAGAATTTGGGTTTGGCGCACAAGTATACACCAAGGATCGAGGCGCTGGTTCGCAAGCAAACTCCCAAGAAGATACTGAGCATTGGTCTTGGGAGGGCACATTGGTTGGAGGGAAGCACCGAACAGCGAGGACTAAAGGTTAACCACTCAATGCCTCGGACCAAGTTCTGGCAATCTGACGAGGCTCGAAGTCTTTCAAGTTCCACCAACTTGCACATGTTGGTGGTTTGGCCAGCGACGTGCAACATTGATCTGCAGATTGGATCCTCTAGGACATGGGCGACACCCACCGAATGGCTTCAACCAACCAAGCAAAAACAACCAAAAAAGGCGATGCTGATCCCACTGATCCTCAAGTTGCTTGGAAGCCCGCCAAGCAATC